GGAAGCCGGATTTATGCGCACAAAAGAACTTTCTGCAAGCCCCGAGCTTGGCATGGCCAACGGTTATATAATTGCCAGCATAGTTCCGCGCTTCCTGCCCTTTCCAACCTCTCCCCTGTCCGGATTCAATAAACCCTCATTGCTTCGTAATCAGTCGAGTACTGTCAACCCCAACCGCAACCGTCCTCCCCTAATCTAATGATTAATTTGCCTGCAATGATGAATAGAATTGCCCACATGCTACTTTTTACCCCCTCCCTATACAAATGTTATGGCCCGAGGAGAATTTATTGAAATCTACATATGCTCGCCAAAAACTTTTCTGGATATCTAAAATATTTTATTCATTTCACACAGATTGTATTTGGCGGACACATGCCTAAAACTAAGTCAAAAATAATAATCAGAATTCTGCTCTCAAAAAGGCACGACAAGAGGTCGGTAGAACGGTTAATGAAGATATGGAGTCTCAGGCGTCCTTCGCAGGTGAGAGGTTTGATTCGACTATTGTCCTTCATATAAGAGACCTAAAATTTAAACAGTTGTTCAGCACAAACTCCTAAAAGGATTACTGCTTTTGGTTTATAAGGAAGCAGTGTAAATAATTTAGCGATAAAAACATCGGAATACAACACCTTTCAACTTACCGGCAAAGCAGCCAGTAAGAAAACAGGCTATAGTTCCACCAACCATTCCACCCAGAATCATCTCTGACAACGCCTTACGACGGTGTGGCAGCATGGTTACCAGGGATCCCAACATGATGCCGATCGATCCAATGTTAGCAAAGCCACAAAGCGCATATGTACTTATAACTTCAGCTCGCTCAGTCTGAACAGGATGAAATTTAAGTTATTGCCAATCAGTACAAAAATACCATTTGAAGTGGATTTAAGCAAGGTTCGATCAAGTTTTTGTAAGGCCTCGTCTTTCTTATTAAAAACTGCTGCAACTCACGTGGAATATACCGTACTCCATAAGATGTGTAGTTCCGTTTCGAAAATCAACAACAATCCCACCATTCGACAAGTAGGTGAAACTACTGTTACCCTGAAACTCCCGATAAATGACACTATCTTTGATAATAATGCCTAAAACAAAGTTAAAAGCACACAGATCAAGCTTTTAAGCTTTGAGAAGATAAGTTCTGAAAGTTACCCTTTATACAACCAAAGGAAATTATATCAAAATAGACAACCGAATACTATCCTTCCATGCATTTTCACCAAAGGCTATAGGAGAATTGGACATTGTTACAAAAACCGAAAACGATAGGGATGACGAGAACATAATTCAAGGTCAGACATGAGTACAGAAATGTGGCCCTTTAAAATAGTATCTTCCCTCGCACGTTTCCAATTCACAAATGAATCTACTACAGCCCTCCCTTGGAAGGATATTCTTGCATTTGTACGACAGAAAATTACCTGAGATAGAATATCGACCCGCAAACTTATACTTGATTTCCCATAAACATGCCAGACATTTAAATGAATTACACATACCAGGTAGTTGATGACAGAACACAGCAATTGCACGACAAATCTGCCTGGACTGGCCTATGACAGCAGGATGACGACGTAGCGCTTAATTGAAACCTATTGAATTTTTGCAAAGAGCTTGGCCGAGCAAAACACCCATAGACTCTTACCTAACCTCGTGAAGGCCACGAATTCGTTGAGCATTGATTTCACGCCAATTAACTCGGCAGCTTTGAGACAGTCCTCTGATGGCACGCCCATCGTAAAGGCGATCGGCCAAAGAAGGTATGAAAATATGAGCTGTAGAAGGAGAAAAAATGAGACCG